TAACACGTGCTTATACAAATTCATTTTAAATCAGCCGGTTTCAACTTAATTTGCTTCTTTGAAAGTTAAAATAAAATAAGATAACTCAAACCAAATTGTTGAAAATATGTCCTTTTTCCTAGTTAAGTGATATGGACGGTTAATCTACCTAATTAGGTAAGAACTGTTGGTTTAATGCAGTTTCTGCTGCATTAAATTCATCATGCAAAAGGAATGGGTGTTCACCACAACAGTTATCACCAACTAAAAATGTCCAAGTACATATATAGAAATATGAACAATTTTGTATCAGGGCATAAAAAATTTCTTAGTAAATATGGTTTAAATCACTGGATTATATATGAATCATATTAAATTAATAAAAAATTAAGATATATGACAACTAAACAGAATTTTATAAGAATCAGATGGTTGAAGACTGTATTTATCAATATTGTTTTTGTTTTTTTTCCCCCCTCATGTTACACATATAAAGTGGCTTTCTTGTGGAATGAAATATAGAGTAGCCGACACATGTTATCCATTTTCATACAAAGTGACTTTTAATGGAACATACAAAGAGAGGCAACATATCTCGTTGTCTAACAATATTATGCCCAAGTCATTTTAGAAAAGATAAGAAAATTTGGCACTTATTATATATGCTTTCAGCTCCCAACATAATGAGAAGCCCCCTTTTTATCTTTTTCCCCACATATACTTGTTTTGAGAAACTTCATCATGGCAATATAAAAAACAATGTCAAAACTCTTATCAAAGGGAATTTTTTTTGTTTCCTCTTTAAGATTTGCATTGGCCAACAAAATGAACATGCAGCCCACAACAATGTCACTTTATGACATACAAACTTCCAATTTCCACATTAGCATTCAACTAGAGTAAGTTAGTGGAGTAGCTAATAAGTACCTAAAAGAAATTATCAAAAAAAAAATACCTAAAAGAATATAAACTATAAAAAAATGTATACAGATCAGACCTTTCTTTTTTGCTTTTCAGTTTTATATATATATATATATATATATATGCAATGTCTCTGGTCAGGCACTTGGAAAATGCCTGACCAGAACGGCACTTGTATATTTTTGTATAAAGTGTGTATATTTACAGTAAGTTGTGTATATTCACACGTAAGTTGTGTATATTTACATGACACTTGTATAATTGTGCAATCGTGTATATTAACATGTAAATCGTGTATATTTACATATAAATAATGTATGTTAAGTTATAAGAAATGACAATGTATATTAATCCTCAAAACATGTTTTTTTTATAGCAATTAGTGAACACATAGCATGAAAATATGTATATTGACTGATTTATTGTATTTCATGTTAAATATACATGACTTTACATGTAAATATACATGATTTACGTATAAATATATTCAATTTATACACAATTATACAAGTGTCTGACTGGTCAGGCACTTTCTAAGTGTCTGACCAGAGACAATTCCTATATATATATATACACATATAAATCTAGAACCGTCTATATCTCAGGTAGATTGGCACCGCACGACAAGTTAAGAACAAAAGTAACATTTAATTAGAGAATCACTTTGTGTGGCTAAGAGTAGTGCTTCTTTTGTCGGTTCATTATATGTCAATTAGAATGCCCAATTTCAAATGTTTTCTTTATATGCAAGAATATTATTGATCCCCATTTGGAACTTTGTTGCATCAATACAAACAAAATTGTTATTATTACAGAGAGACCAATACTACTTTAGTATTTTCTCAGTTCAATAAAGTTTTGTACCATTTTGGAGAGAATCTAGCAACTTCAATAAGCGCCGCCTCCCAATACAAAGAAAAAACAACTATAAAAACAGAAAAAAAAAAAAGCACCATTTTAAGGTTATTGTTAATAAATAAGATTAGAAAAGAAAATCAGGGATGGAAAATGCCTAACCAAGACCTAGTACTTGTGTAGGATCCTTTGTCTTGATTATAAGCAAGATAGGTATTAGAATTTGTGACCAATACTAACTTTTCTGTATCATAATAGGTTCTTGTTAATAAATAACTATATATACTTTTGTGTGTCTTGATTATTTTTATTTTTTCTAATTTAATTATTATTAATGGGATTAGCTTATTATGCTTATGACTATTATTTATTTGGATTTAGTTAGCCTTTTGGAATATCAGGTCTCTATCCCTGTCAAACCGTGAACAATATGACTTTGCAATTTGTAACTAAATTAGTTTTAATCAACAAGGTTCTCCTTTTAGTGTTAGTCGTGTAGATATCAGATGATCCGTATGTGACTTGTGGATCTTTTCAAGATTTGGAGATACCAAATTGGAGAACATAATTATCAATCGCTTGTTTTACATAAGGAACACCAATGATGTGAATTGTCATTTTTTTTATTGATAAATAAAATTTTTTATAATTATGACAATGTTTTAAACACCCATTAATGTAAAAATGGCAACTCCTACGCCACATCAGTTAGCACACAAGAGTTAAAATTGAAGTTGGTATCTCTAATATTATTCATATATTATTAGAGTTATTGTCCTATTATGATACAGAAAAGTTATGATCAGAATTTGTGCCCTTAATATTATTTATATATATGTATATATAGTTATTGTCTTGTTATGACACACAAAAGTTAAAGTTAGAATTGGTTTCATTAACATTATATAAATATATATTTATATATATATATTTATGTTATTAGAGTTATTGCCCTGTCCAAACTTTGGAGAACTGAAGCATTACTCTCCAGATCAGATGAAAGGGCCAGATATAAACTTGAAAACTATTACACAAGCACAAGTACAACGCTTACTTTTAAGCTTTTTCCTTTTCCCACCTTTTGTCTGAGAAAAAAAAAAACATAAATTCCATGTATGTTAGGTAAATGAAACATTAATGGCCTAGTAAATTGATTCCTTTCCCAGCTTTGTCTTGTCGAATATTTGCTCGTTAGACTAGTGGTTTTCAACTAAGCAGCTGGAAGGCAAAGATAAATGTTGAGATTCCCAGTTAAATGTTGAGATTCCCAGTTACATTTTGAAGAAATACTTTTCAAGCAAAACTAGATACTTTTTTGGGCCTTGGTTTGGTAGGAGGGAAAAGTAAGAGGATGAATAGAGATGATAAGATTAATGAATGATTAGAGGAGGGAATATATTTGGTGAGGGATTCAAATTGCTCCATATGTCTGATTTAAATCCTTCCAGAATAGGAAGAATTTGAAAGAGAATCCATACCAAACAGAAGAAAAGGCATCGCATTCCTCTTCATTTTCGTCACCTAGATTATACATCTTTCTTTCTTTGCTATTCTCTTACTCTCTTTCCAAACACAGCTTTAAAAGTTGATTATTCCACTTGTCATATAGCTATTTTAGGATGATACTTCAAATTGAGCAGAACTTGTGGAAACTGAATGCAGCAAAGATCTATTTACTAATGACATTAGAGATGTCATATTACTTCTCGAATGAGAGAGTTTATTTATAAGTTTTCTACCCTTGACTACTCAATTAAGATTCACAAGTAGAAAACAGCCTCTCTTAGCTGCCTGGTCTTACAATTTAATAACTGGCAGGAGCAGCTTCAACAAAAGAGGGCTCCAACCTTGAGTTTACAAAGAAAGAAGTGCCTTCCAATGATCAAGGGAACGCAAAATTCTAAACATAAGTGCGACGATATAGGTTTTTTTTTTTTTTTTTCCTTTTAATTTTCTAAGGGAAAAAGAAGAATAATTCCTCAGCCACTGAATTGCATCGCAGGAACTCATCATCATCTTTTCCTACTTATTCCGAACTCTGATCTAGATTCTCTTCCGCCAAGGAAAGAAAGCAAAAGTCATTCAGGAACTCAGGTTGTTATGCCTATTCGAACATGAAAACGACATCGGCAGATGCTTCAAGCTTGAAACATCAAACATTTCCATGAATCTTTGATCCGAAACTCTAGCTTTGGCAGCTGCGAAGCGCTGGTATTCATCGAAGACAGATGTGAGGCACCATTTTTGCAACTTACGAAGGCACCCGACGAGACAGCCAGTTCGATGCTGACAATCAGAGCAACAAACCATCTACAATTTAGAAGGTATATATAGGACTCAAAATAATGAAATCAAGGATCAAAGAAATCAGTTCTGCTCATACCTTCCCTCTTTTGCAGTGAATCAAAACAGGGTGATTCCTCACGTCTGTATTGCACCAAGGTCAAAGTCAATATTAGCAAATCTTTTAGCTACAAATTTTGCAAGTCAGTTGGGGAAAGAAGGCGGCGGGGGGGTGTGGAAGGGGGAAGGAGTGACAATGTGTTCGAAGTACCTAACACAACTTTTAGCGCTTCACGAATTGTATCTTCGGGAATGTTTACAAAAGGCTCCTGGACAATTTTTAATTTCGATATCAATATTGCTACCAATATAAAATAAGTGTTAAACCATGTATTGACATTTTGGTCTACTAGTACTAGCGCTTTTAGTCACAAAACTCAACATCAATCAATTTAATTCAAGTTCGACAGTAGTATTTTAGAACTGATCTCCATATTGTTGTGCACAGTAACACATTATTTGACCAACTTGAAGAGAGATCTTACGACACGGGCCAGCCAATGATCACAATAAACTAGTTCTTAATTCATATCGACACAAGTGCAATCAAATCACATTTTTCATATGCTCACTTATTCATATCCAATTGTCTACCGTGTCCTCACTTATACACATGCTCGTCTTTATATGGATACATTATGTACGTAGAGTGAGATATTTATCGATGTGATTTTATAAGTGCATTATCACGATAAATTGTAATGTGTAACTGTATTTATGCATAACTTTTCCTGTGACCCTCTTTTAATATTGTTCCCTTGTGAATAACATATGTTTCCTGTGACCATCGCTTAGAATGGAACTTGATGATAGCGCAACTAGAAGTCATTATAAGGAAATATCATTATGTGGGTGTGGTTCAAGCTGGTTCTCCAAAACAAAACTTGGTGGTCGATTCGTTATTATCATCCTTTCATGTGATTGTTTTCCTGTCAGAAGGTCGTCTAGAATATCTTAACAAAAAAGAAAAAGAAATAGAGAGAGAGAGAGAGGTGATGTCAAGCAAAATTCTTGATCAAATTAGTTATCTCATGTCCGGATGACAACAAAGATGATACCCTTTTCAAATTTGCCAAAAAACGATGATGGCCATTGAAAAAGCAAATTGAGACCCGAAAAGGAAAAGAAAAAAAAGTAACAAAGACTGAAACACATTGAAGCGAACTCTAATTGTCTAAAAACTGCAAATTGAGTTAAAGTGCAGAGTATACTAGTATAGTTTTGAACTGCTTGAGCGAGTTATGTGCCTCTAATTGCACCAATATCTATTCGTTACTAGGAAAGGGGAAATAGTAAAACAACCATGTTTGAGAAGAACAAATGTAATTGGGGAAAAAAGGACCATAAATAAGAAATGAGAAAATCATTTTTCTTGGTTAACAAATCAATAAACTGAGGAAAATAATAGAAAAACTGCTGGCAACGTGACGAGCTACCATTGAATACAAGAACTGAAAACGATTAGAATGAAAAGGAGGTGGTAAAATGAACTGCTTCTTTTATGCGTGCACACTACAGGCTTACTAGTCGTCAATTCTATGAGAACGGAAAAAGTCAACATTTAAGAACTTAAGAGAGATCTACCAGTGAAAGCTTTTCGCCGGCGTTGTACATTTACCAATCATACCCTTTAGTCAAATATAGGCCCCATGTCGACTATAACCCTTAAATTCCATCTGCTCATTTGACAAAGGGAATATAAGGTTTGATTTCAATATTTGTTATGGGCTTAGCTTTGCTCCTCTGGAGACTATTCAACAAATTGATATATGAATCTAGATGGAGCTAAACCCAAGGTTAATACTTTTGTAAGGACATATCAAGCACATTCTTGATTCGTTCAAATGATGAGGACGTATTAACCATGTGCACATGTAGCCTGATTGAATCATGTATCAAATTCAAAATTGGGTAAATCCAATTGCGAAAATCCAAAATCTTTTTGTTAGATTGTATGAAAGAATCATATTTGATTAATGAGCAAAATCAATTAAAGGCCGCAGAATATTTCAAAACCTATATATACGTAAATTTACTAATAGCAAGAAGTTGTTGTAACTTGTAAATTGCATAAGAAACCAAAAAAGTTAGCATAAAATCGACATAGCTTGGTTTCAGTGATGTTTTTGATTCACAAAAACTTGCATACGGATGATCTAAGCATTTAGGAAGCATAATTCATTATGATTTAGCCTCAATTTCGAGGATTCATTTATATGGAAAACAAGAGCGCATTAAATTTGATCCAACAAATCAAGCTAAGTGCTTAAGCAGATCCGTGGAATTAATCCAAGTTCGTTCCTTCTAGGTATCAAAGTACGCCCAAGTGAAAGCTCAATATGCAAACATCATTAAAGGAAAACTCGGAAGCGAGTTTTTTTCAATCTCAAAGTTTGAAATCATAAAAGTACAACCAAATTAAACTTCAAGATTGCCCACAAAAGAAGAAGAAACAAGAAGATATCAAATGACAGCGACCACACGAGCAATGAGGAAATGATATTATCAGAAAAAGTATATGTAGCAAGAGTTCTTTAAATGCGACAAAGTCAGGACGGCTATTTATGGATATAATTATAATATTAGATAAAAGCTTCTCCATGAAGGGCAAAATAATACATAGACTCAGCTCTTTATTGCGTTTTAAATTAATTTATATAGACGATTTAGCCATTAAACAATCAGAAAGGCCAATAACATGCAATAATTGTAGAGATTCATATAGAAACATTTCAAATCTCATCTGTCAGAAAGGATTCGCCATAAAGAAAGAGAGTCATATCCAAAAGTTTTACTCTCCTACTTTCTTCATTATAACATGTTCTAAATTTAATTAAATAATGGCAGCTCCACAATTCAAAAGCTATAAAATGACGATACATTCAGTGAAGACGAGAGATATTGAAGCAAAAATACATACCTTATAACCTTCGATACCGAATTGGAAAAGCCGAATTCCATTGGCCTTGAGAAACTCCATGTTCGCCTCCGGATAGGGCTCCGGACACAGACATCTACACACACACACAAAGAAACTCGGTAAAGAAACAACGATCAAGACCTAAAATTCATCCAATTTTGTCTCTCCAACTCCAATTAGCATTGAACTAAGATGAAAAATGATACACATCCAAAAAGTCCAAATGCATAAGCGGAATCGAAATCGGCAAAACAAAAAAGCGTCAAAATTCATCGAAATTCGATCACATAAACACGCGAAAATGCATAAACAAACAATCAACAGAGAGATAGCGGGAGAGAATTGAAAGAACACTAGAAGCACGATCAAAATTCCAAATGCATAAGCGGAAGTAAGCAAAAAAAGCCTCGAAATTCATCAAAAATTCGCACAGAAAATGCACAAACAAACAATCAACAGGGAATGAGAGAATGAGAAATATCCGAACATGACTTACATGATAGAGCGGAGGCCGAGAGTTTGGAGGAAGGAGAAGTTGGCGGAGTCGGGAAAACCGGACCTGAAAATGCCGTTATCCACCATGGCGAAGTTGAGAGGAGGGATGAAGAGATCCTCACCGTCATCGGCCGTGGCGGCGGCGACGGCGGCCGCGGCGATGGAGACAAGCTTCTCCGGCGGCGGAGACTCTCTGACCTCGACAGTGCTAGTAGTAGTCCTGCACATGTCGGCACCAACAACGAGCTGGTTCTGATGGTGGTGGTGGTCCACTTTCATAATCAGAAACTGTTATTTTTCTGTTTGAGAAGAAGGAAGGAGAGCTTCCTTTGGTGGAGTATTTATATGGAGAATTGGGATCGCCGAGGATATTCCTTTGGCTTTGGCTTTCTTCTTCTTCTTCTTCTTCGTTTGCTCTTTAGATGCGGTTGAAAAGCAGAGAGAGAGAGATGGGTTGGTTTGTTAAGGTGGTGGAGAGAGATCCACCAACAAGTGGTAAACTGTGTATTTATAGATTTAGAGAGAGAGAGAGAGAGAGAGAGAGAGAGAGAGAGAGATGGCTGAGTTGGAGCTGAGCAGAGAAAGAAAAAGAGGAAAATGATTGACAAAAATAACAAGAGAGATTTTAATTAATATTTTCACAAACAGAGAAAAGTTTGACAAAAATAACGAAAGATATTTTAATTAATAAATAAATAATTAGCGTGGATCAATGACGTTGAGATAAAGGCAGCGTGGATGTAGGTGAAAATCTATTCATGACGAAAGAAAATTAAAAAGTATTGACGGTGATTACAGATTAATTATTAATTAAGTGGAAGAATCTGAAAAATGCTTAGGCACAGGTGTGGTATTAAACATCATTCTTAATAAAAGACGGGGTTTAAGATTATAGAACCTATCTTGTATTAATGAGTGGTATTGATCAGTGTCAAATAATACGCACATCGCTAGTGCCGGGTAATCAAGGTGTTAATTTAGGTTGTACGTCATTATTCTAACTCTAGTTTTTTATCTGGATTATTTTGATGTAAAAATTACATTTTATATTTTCTACAAAATAGTATATTTCAATTACAATTCTAGAGAAATGATATTTCTCTAATTCAAATCACTCATAAGCAATATTTAAATTATTTATCACTAAAAGGCAAAGGGATAATCTAATAACTAAAACAAAGAGACAAAGAAAACTAAAAACAAACTTTGTTCTAGTTAGGGAACACTGTTTTTTTCATCTCCTCCAGGAAATGATAACACACAAATGGCTTTATAATTTAGCAACTCTCAACTTTCAACGAGAAAACATGATAACACGAGTTTGATTCTTAACATGAATCAAGAAGAATCAATTGCAAAGGAAGAGAGAGACTAATAAAAAAATTTGAATGAGAGAAATTTGGAATTTCTTGACGAGGGAGGCAGGCGTGAGTTTAAATTGCGTGGTGCGAGCAAATTCGTGCTAACTTTTGAATCACCTTTTGAGCCTTTCATTTTCTCTCTTAATGTAGAACAATCTTTAGAGTCTAATTGATATATTTACTAATGATTTTATTTTGATATTGTGAGTTAGATTCGAAGAGAGTTATTATTATGAGATTTGGAGCACGTTTCGTGAGCTTTTAGAAGAGATGGAATAAAAATGGTTCTACACGAGATTTATAAATCAACTGATATGATTACTATTATTTTTTTTATCTTTTCATTGATATAATTAAATTAACTGAAGTTATGAACCATACGACCTTAAAATTACATATTTTATCACTCTCTTGTTTCTATTCATGCCACTTGTCATTTCACTCCTAAAAAATTAAAGCATAGTTAATTAAATAAAAGTATAAAAATGATATTTTCATTTTCTTTGTGTTAAAATTAATTGGCTTCGTTGATTTTGCAGATTTGAGTTTTTAATTTAAATTAAAATGTAACATTTTTTTAGAGTTTTTTACTGTAGTAAAAAAAATTAAATGTGATATTTTTTAAAAAAATTTTACTATAAAAATCTAAAATTAAATATTTAAATTGATGAAATAAACGAAATATTTGAATTGAATGAACAGTTACTTCCAAAGAAGGAAAAACCGCGGGGCCCACAGGTTCAACCAAGTGCCCTGCAACAGCCAAGAGACAATAATTTCCCCAACTTCGACAAAATTAAAAAAAAAAAAGTACAATTTTTGAAATAACATTTGATTGAGAGTTGGAACCACAATCATTACTAACATAAATAAAAATTTCAAAAAATAAAAATAAAAATTCTGGAAGGTATAGAGGGGAACATTCTATGGAATATGCCATGGCAAAAAGGCAGAGAGAGTGTCCTTTGTGAAGTTTGTATGTTAGTGCTCAAAAAATGCGATGCGAAAACTCTGCGCCACGTACTTTATTGTAATATATTTTGATTTTATTTAATCCCCAAAGTGCTTCTGCAAAGTCCCACGCTAGAAAGTGCACAAAAAAGTGTACGAAAAATAGAACCTCTCTCCCTTTCTCTCTCCAAAGACCCAGTCTCGCACATGACATGATCTTGCTTTCTTTCACCTTTTTATTTCTCGTCGTTGATTTGATGCTTCTTCTAATCTTTAATTTATCATCAGCAAATGCAATTGTTATGCAACTTTTGCCCTAGTGGAGTTTTCTTACTTTGGTTTTAATGAAATAAGGGTTTAGTTGGGTAGTGTTGTAAATTTTAAAAAAATTATTTTTAATTGTGTTAAAGGGGGAAGTAGTTGAGTGTTTGATAAATTATAATTATAGTAGCTGTGCTGGTTCTAAAATCAGTATAATAGCATTTGATAAATTATGAGATTGAATTGATATGGGTAGTTAAAATGACCAAAATAGACATTGTATAAAACTTAAATATATATAATTATTTTTGGTATTTAAAAATACTTGTTTAACGTAAAAAAAAAAACATATGCTATAATTTTGAGTTTCCTAGCAATAAATTTATGATAATTAATTCTTTTTTTTTTCATTTTCTCATGCACAATATAGTTACAACAAAAAGTAGTATTAATGAGTAATCAAAATATACAATAAAAATGTACATTCAATGTTCAAAAATTGGTAGAGATATGAAAAGAGTTAAATGTGCTTTTCAGTTCCCGTGAAATCTAATTCAAAATCTAATTCATTCTGCTTACAGGCTACAGTTCTTTCAAAGAAAAACTTACAGGCTACAACCATTCTCGTTCACAAAAAAATATAGGAAGACATATAATACACAGAATTCACAGGAACTTAATACACTAAATGCTATCTGGATTGACAACATAGGAATTATCCTTAACTCTTTTTGTTCCAATTGGTAAGAGATGATAGTGTGTATGAAATAACGCCTTGCAGATTTGTGAACTGCAACAATCCGCCTGTTTTCAGCCTGATCATAGACAGGCTTCTTGGATTTTTTGTGCAACTTAAATTAGACTTGTTCGCAAATAATGTACGCTTTTTCCCAAAGCATCTTGGTGCCTAGAGAAAATTATATTGAAATCCATTGAAATTCTCCAAGTACTACAAGTAATGTCATCTTCCAAGTTGCTGAATTGTTAAGAAACATCTAATACATCTCAAAATGGTATCTTTCAGGTATAGTATTTTAAATAGAAACAACAAGTAAATAGCCGCAGTCGACACTCGATCACATCATTCATATATAAGTTTCTAAACTACGTAGAATCTCATTCAGTGCCTTTTAGTTTTCGATTCACTCTTGGAAAGTGTCATCCCTGAAAGCTTGTGGATTTCATAGAGTAGTACAGCTGAAAACAAGAAACTGCAACAAAAATGAAAACAGGATCATCACTATGTGTTGTATGCATGTAGATCTTAGACAACAAACACTGCATTTTGCCAAATATTTTGCGAAGCATACTAAGGCCCCGTTCATTTCGCTGATTCGAGTTTAGAATTCGAGTTT